GACCAGGACAGACACGGGGACCGACCCGGACAGACACGGGGACCGACCAGGACAGACACGGGGACAGACCCGGACAGACACGGGGACCGACCAGGACAGACACGGGGACCGACCCGGACAGACACGGGGACCGACCCGGACAGACACGGGGACCGACCCGGACAGACACGGGGACAGACCAGGACAGACACGGGGACAGACCAGGACAGACACGGGGACAGACCAGGACAGACACGGGGACAGACCCGGACAGACACGGGGACAGACCAGGACAGACACGGGGACCGACCCAGACAGACACGGGGACCGACCAGGACAGACACGGGGACCGACCAGGACAGACACGGGGACCGATCAGGACAGACACGGGGACAGACCAGGACAGACCCAGGACAGACCAGGACAGACATGGGGGACAGACAAGGACAGACCTGGGGGACAGACCAGGACAGACCTGGGGACAGGCTAGGACAGACCTGAGGAACAGACTAGGACAGATCCAGGGGACAGACCAGGAGAGACCTGAGGGACAGACTAGGACAGACCCGGGAGCAGACCCAGAGGCCCAGCGCAGGGGCGGGACACTGCCTCCTGCCCACTCAGCCCAGCACAAAGCCCTCTCTGTGAAGCTGACAGTGGTCAAAGCCGCTTAGATGTGGCCTGGCTGGTGGGCAGTGTCCTCTAGGGGATCAGGGTAGCTGGTCAGCAGGGGCTTGGCAGCAGGCACCCCAGGCTGCAACTCGGCCCCAGTTCCCTCCTTTGTGTCTCCTGTGCCAAGGACCCAGGCACCTGGGCCCAATGGTCCTGCCCGCCTGTACCCACGGCCAGCACACATTGTCAACGGAACACAAGGCTCAGGACCCCTGGAGGACACTGGTCAGTGTTTCTCACTGGTTAGAAGACAACTCCAACGTTCCCTGGGCCTCACCCAGCCAAGTCCACCTGGCTTGCTCCCTGCTCCTGCCAGGCCAGGCCCATTGTCCCTCAAGCGTTCTACACCTGTCTGTCCCTGGCGTGGCCTCCACCATGTCCCCGCACCATCTGCCCCCTGTGTGAGGACATGGGTCAGTCCTGCTCAGGGAGACTTTTTCTGGCCACCACAGGATCCTGGCAGTGTCCTTGGTCTCTGCCCACTCCAGTCCAGCCTCATCTGAGTAACTGATCAAAATGTCCCCTCTGTCCCCAGTGGGCAGGCGGGGTGAGCTGCCTGGGTGACGATGTCCCAGATAGAGGGCTTGGTCCCGTGAGTGGGGAGCAGGAGGAGGGGGGACACAGAGCCCAAGGAGCAGGCGCCCACAGGGAGACCAGCAGGCACACAGGCAGGAACAGGACCGAGGGGCTGACTAGTGAGGCGGGATCTGAGGCCGAGTGGGCTGCAGGACCACTCCGTCCTGTCTCCACCCTCCAGCTGTGCAGGACATCTGAGGACCGCAGGTTCACAGGTAAGCACCACACGTGTGCCCAGGCTGACCTCGGACACAGTGCTTGGGGCCGGCACTGACCTCACCTGTGCCCAGGCTAACCTTGGAGGCGGTGCTCAAGGGCCAGCACTGACCTTGTCCTGGGCGCTCGAGGCAGTGTTCACGTCCCAGATGGTGGGCACCTGGCTGAGGCTGTCGGCCGGCAGGAAGTCGTGCGTGTCTGCAATGTCTGACAGCGAGTCCACTGACGAGGACAGCAGGGAAGCGTTGGAGAGGGCATCGAGGCACGAGGTGTCCTGAAAAATGGGCGGGTGAGTTGGAAGCTGTCCGTCCGGTGGGCCCCCTCTACTGGGGCCCTGGGCGCCCTGGCAGTCCCCAGTGGACCATGGCGGAGCTGGGGAACCCTGGTCCCCTAAGGCCAGCCACCCTGATGCCTGTCCCACAACCCACTAGGGCCACAAGGTGATGTGGACACACAGGAAGCCAGCTAGTTAGGACACGGAGGCACAGTCAGCAGGAGAGCGCCCCAAAGAAGCCAGCTGCCCAGGACGGGGATGTGGCTTCACAGGGTTAGTGGCCCCGCAGATGTCAGGGAGGTGACCTGTTCACCGGGGCCCTATGATCACAACTCCTTATTAGTAGTGAGGCTGTTACAATCCCAGAGGGGTGTGGTTCGAATCCACCAGATGCTCTGCTGGAGGAGGGGCAATCTCCTCCTGTACCAGTCAGATCTGATTTGACGGTACGTGCACAAAAAATAATAAAATAAACTTTTTTTCTAAAAAAAGTGAGGCTGTGGTGAGTGGACACAAAGTGGGGTGAGGCCGTGTGGACACCGAGTGGGGTGAGGCCGTGTGGACACCGAGTGGGGTGAGGAGTGGGGGCCTGGCCAAAGTGGAGGCAGTCTGGTCTGTGAGCTGGGGTGACCTCATGGTATGGAGGATTTGGGGAGTGGGTCCCCAGATGGGTTTGGAGGGACTGTGTTTACTGTAGTGCCTGTGACCGTGAGGGACTGGGCACCTTGCTCTGTCTTGCGGGTGCCCAGAGGCTCTACACAGACTGAGGCCTGGACAGCGCACTCAGTGGGGGAACGGTAATTCCACACGCTGCGAACAGAGAGGCTGCAGCTGTGCGGCAATCAGGGCCAGAGCACATGCCGGACGAGCACATGCCGGACGAGCACATGCCGGACGAGCTGCTGGAGGATGGGACAGATGTGGGGCGTGCAAGAAACACGGCAGGGGGGACAGGGCAGGAAGGCGACAAGGATGGAGGTGGACAGGGATGGAGGGGACAGTGGGGGGGACAGGGCGGGAGGGGGACAGGGAGGGAGGGGGATGGGGATGGAGGGGGACAGGGACAGGGACAAGAACAGGGTGAAGAGACAAGGGACTGGGTCGGGACGGGATGAGAGGGAGGGCAGGACACTGAGGGGACGGGGACAGGGGAGCGTGACAAGAGATGAGATGAGGAATTGGGGGGAGAAGACAGGAGACTGAGGGGACAGGAGATGCTGAGATCCCCCAGGTCTGCAAGTACAGCCGCAAGGCGACACTCAAGGACACCAAGCGTGTACAGATCAAGGGCGTCTGACAAACCATGGAAACAGCCCATGACCCAGACGCACAGCCAGCAAAGACGTGTCACCCAGAAGGTACCGAAGGGGCCCCAGAGGCAGAGACGATGGCCATCAGATTGAAGGCCTGAGTGGGTTCTGACTTTCTGTACCCCACAACCTCCACAGCCCCCCCTGATTCCCCACGGCCCTCACAACATCCTACAGCACTCCACAGCCCCTACAGAACTCCACAGTCTCTACAGCAACCCCCCCACAAAGGCCCCCGCAGCACCCCGAACAGGACCGTGTGGGGGCTGCCGAGGCTGGAGGTGTCACAGGGCCACCTGCTGCTGGCCTGTGGCACGGCTGGTGTCTGAATGATGATGCTTTGCTTAGCAGCCACTGCCTCAGAGCCGTCACTGCACATCTGGGAGATGGACATCAAGACCGCCATGAGACAGAGACAGCACCATGAGAATGACAGCAGTCAACAAACAAAGGGTGCCGGCGAGGCCGTGGGGAAATCTTGGCAGGAGGGGACAAAGGTGCCCTGGTGCGCGAGGCCATGTGGAGCCTGGCATCGATGACACAGGCCATGATCCGCCAAGAGGAAGACCCCGAGACGGAAGGCCAAGGTGCAGGCCAGAACCTGCCCCAATGTCCACACAGCGCTTCCCAAGCCCAGAGTGGGGGCAGGAGTGGCCATCAGCGGACGATGGGGACACTGCACGACGGGCACACGGCTCAGAGTCCTGTCCCTAGGAGCTGAAGGCCTGGCCACCATGCCACCACAGAGAGCGCTATCCAGGCACCCAAGTGGCCCTGGGCAGAATGGGGGGTGGGAATGAGGAACAGAACTCAAAACATAAAAAAAAAAAAAAGCCAGACAAACTGGACTCAAGACCAGGGGAGTCCCTAAGCCCATAACTCCACTCATCCTGAAGTCATCCTTAGCGAACGGTGCAGAGGACGAAAATCAGGGTGTTCCCAGAGCCAGGGTCAGACAGGTGCACACCTGCACAGGTGGGGACACAAGGCCTGGACAGGAATGAACGGGTACATCTCACTGCGGGGAACAGAGCACCCAGCCCCCAACCAGGAGTTACTGCCACACATTTTGCTACCTGGCCCCTAGGGCCTCATGTGAGTGTGCCCCTCGTGAGCACAGGGAGCAGAGCCAGGTGGTCAGCAGTCTGGTGCAGACGTGGAGAGGAAGGGTGGGGGCCAGGACCACTGCTGGGGAGCATGGGAGCCTCCTCCCTCCACAGGGGCAAGGGCAAGGGCAGGGCAGAACCCGCTGGCCCAACTGCCACCACGTGGAGTCCCTCCAGTTACTGAGGGACACTGGACTAGTCCTCAGCCAGGTGACTGCAGTCCCCTCAGTGCCTGGAGGACAGGTCACGTCTGACCTGCCAGCATTTGGGGGGTGGGCGCAAGCTGCCCCTCCCACCAGGATAGACACTCTGGATAAACTCTATCCAGGGGACTCCATGAGTCCTGAGCAGCCCCTCCCCAAGTATGGAGGCCTGGGGGCCCAAGTGTACCTGTCCCAGGATTGAGGTGACAGAGGCAGCACATTAACCAACAGTAACAACAGGGGGCGCTGAGACCACACCACAGCTCTGTCCACCCAATCTGCTGTAAAACTTACCAAAAAGTGGGTGTGCTACCTCCTGACACCGCCGCCTGTGAGCACCCCACCCTCCCCTCAGCACCAGAGCACCACACCACACTGGACAGCAGGGCCCCATCGGGGTCCCAGGAATGGCTGAAGGAGCAGGTGGTCCTTCCCCTGGAGCCCCGCATAACTTCAGTCGGTATCAGCACAGGACCCCCACCCCAAGGTTCACTGCCATTCCAGGATGCAGCTTGGGTCCTGGGGAGCATGTGGGGCTGGACCCTCCCCAGGGATGGAACTCAGCTCCCCTCCTCCGCACTGGGTAGGAGTCTAATCCCCCACAGCGGTGTTCCCACCTTGAAAGCCCCCCCAACTGTGCCAGATGAGGGGCTCCGAGACAGCTGGTCCAGCCACACACAGATGCACCTCAAAATCCACAAGAACCTGGGTGGACTCACCTGAGCCACTCACTGGTGGCCCCCAGGAGACAATGACCACTGCTCAATCCTACCACGTAGCCCCAGTCTCCCTGAGACACCTGCAGGGCAGGACTGCTTGGGGGGACGACGACGACCCTGCCGCTTATGCACCCCCATCTGGGCGGGGTCCCCGCCTCCAGTGCTGGGGCTCCTCCCCAACTCACTTCGTCGACAGTGAAGCAGCCCCGGCACCCCCTCCCTCCCGGGGTCCTCACCTCCCCGTAGGTTTGGAGGCAGCATGTGACCTGGCAGCGCCGTCACAGGCTCTCTCGCACCCCTGTCCCGGGGTCCCCACCTCTCTGTAGACTTAGAGGCTCCCTGCACCCCATCCCCGGGTCCCCATCCCCCTGTAGACTTGGAGGCACCGTATGACCTCGCAGCGCACCCACAGGCTCCCCGCGGCCCCCACTACCTGCCGGCGCGGACGTGCGCCTTACCTGGCCGAGCGCGGCGAAGCGCAGCCACAGCCGCAGCCGGGACATGGCGCGGAGGGCCCGGGAGGCGCCGGCTCCGCATGACCCCGGGCCGCGGGCGGGTTAGTCACCGGCCGACTTCCTCCGCAGCCGGCTGACTGTCGGGAAATGATGCGGCCGCGATTACCGGCAGCGCCCGGCCTTCCTGGACGGGGCGGCTCCAGTGGCGGGCAGCCCTGCCCTGCCCAGCACCGCCTCCGCGCGGGCCGCACGGCCCCTCCCGCCTCAGTTTCCCCACCGGCGCCCCTTCTCTGAGCCCTCCCTGTCCACCCCAGCACAGCTCCGACTCAGCCAGCACTGAGGGCTGGCCGGGGTCTCGGTCCTGACCCCCTGCTTCCCAGCCATGAGCCCTTCTTCCTTCCACCATCTGCAGGGCAGCACCAACCCTGAAGGCCCCACACCAGCCACATACACACCCCCCACCCACCCACCCCGTCAGGGGAAACGGTGCTATCCAGTTTGGGGGAAACAGGCAGGAAAGGCCCCAGTACTGCTGCAGGGTGGGGACAGGTGGACATAACCTTGCTGACCAGGCCTGATGGTCCCCACAACTGGACGCGGAGTCTGTTCAGTCCCCCCGGGACACGGCCTGACCCTCAGGTCCTTCTCTGCATTGGGTGGGGGGTGAGTCGGGTGGGCTACGGGCAGCCAGGGACCCAGTGGGTGGGAGGGACGCAGGCAGGAACGCAGTCCACCCTTCTCAACTGCCTGATACACCTCCCTGACTGGACACTGCTGGGCCACCATGCCAGCCCCCTCCAAACCCCCGACACCCTACTCTGGAGGGAAACAGAGAAGGCACAGGATGGGCACTCTCCTTGAGAAAGCAACTCCCCGTGGTCAGTTCCCAGAGGGCAGATCAGAGCTACTTCAACCACGAGGAGGGAGATTCAACTACCACTTACAGTAAATGAATGAACAAGCCTCCCCGTGGCCTGGGCCCTGCTCAGGTTCAAGTTCACCCTTGTCAGTCCACCTCTGTAGCAGGATGGCCCCCCTGACGACATGCCCGTCTCTGAAGTCTCCCCCTTGCCTCGAAGGGGCCTCTGGCCACACTTCCCCCAGGACAGAGCTGGGTTTTTGTAGCGGGTAGTCTGCACTCTTCTCCAGCAGCACACCCGAGGGCTTCAGTTCCCCTCTGCTCAGTCACTGCCCAGCTCTCACGCCAACGAGGCAGCGGGAAATACGGCTGGGTCGGTGCACCTTGAGCTTGAAGCTCAACTCAGAGGCAGTGAGCACCAGGCGCTGACCGAGCTGGGGACCCAGGCCACGTGCATGGTGGGTACAGGGGAGGCGCGGCCGACGTGGGAGATGTGTGGGCCACTGCATGGTCACCAAACACCAGCCTTTCTGCTCTGGTGACCCCAAAAGACGAGTCCACGCAGCCACACAGCAGCAGTAATGCTGACAGCTGGGACACAGCATGGACACCAAGTGGCCACCACAAGGGTGTCCATACACAGTGTGCTCCAGCCACATAGGACCAAACCCACAACCATCCAGTCGGTCCTTGCTCAGAGCAGGGTCTGTGCCCGGGATAAAGGAGACTCAGGAAGGGGAACGAGGAGGCTCGGGGAGGGGACAGAGGAGGCTGGGGGGGGATAGAAGAGGCTGGGGGAGAGGAGAGAGGTGGATCGGGGAGGGCAGGACTTGTGCCCCAGAGAAGGCTGAGGCAGAGGGGTGGAAGGATGCGAGGAATGGAGGGGACCCCAAGGATGGCGGGGCCGGGAGCATGTCGAGGGAGATTGAGGGCTGGATCAGAGCGCACTGGAAGGTCCCAGGAGCCCTGAGGTGAGGACCAGCGAGAGGTTAGATCAGGTCTGACCTGAGCCCTGCTGGTGCTGCTATATACTATTCCCGTGTCCCCACACTGTGCTGACCTCTACCTGCAGCCTAGCAGTGGTCCACTCTCAGGGTCCCAGCTGACTGTGGTAACAATGCTGAGGCTAGGGTGGCATGGGGCAAGTGCCCGTGCTGTGATGGGGCCAAGGACGGCTGAGCCTGGCCTGGGGTGCCTGCTCCCCATTCTTCCTCCCCACCTCTGCCTAGTCCTTGGTCCACACGCAGGGTGCTTGCTGAGTGCAGGCCCTCACTCTGTACCATAGGTCCCTGGCCCAGCAAGGACTGAGGGTATGGGGACATGTGTCCCACCTTCCTGGAGGGCAGGGTGACATGGGCAGGATCCAGAAGAGCTGCTGAGGAAACTGAGGGCAGAAAGTGGCTCTGAGTGCCGGGGACACAGGGCTGCAGGACAGCCAGAAGCCCAGCCTGCCGGCTCGCCTCACGTCCAGGTCAAGGCGCTCCTGGCCCCTGAAGGTTGGGGGTCCCCTGTGAGGATTGAAGGCTTCCTGGAAGAGCACTGCGTGCGGGTGTGCGAATGCCAGTAAGTGCTGGAGGGCGGGCCACTGTCCCGCAGTCCATGCTGGGCCCCAGCCGTGTGCTGCCCGCAGCACTTTCCCGGGCGTGAGCTCATCCCTTCTTCCCAGCAGGCTGGCCAGCTAGGCCTCTCTGGGGGCAGGGTCCACCTGCTGCTCCACCTGCTTAGAGCCTCGCCCTGTCTGGGGGCCTGGGACTCAGTCAGGGTCCCCACACAGCCAGAGTGTTCAGGGACCCAGGGGAGCAGATGCTGTCCCTGAGGCCTCCCAGCAGTGCGTCCAGGAGGATGTGAGCCTGGCAGTCTGCCCGAGCCCTCGAGGCACTGGGCCCTGCACCTGCATCTCCAGGGCCTCAGGCATGGATTCTGATTCCAGGGTCGGTCCTCTGACTCAGCACGGATGACGGGAGGCAAAGGTCCCCACAGTGACGCAGAGCCTTCAAACCATAGGCCTGGCCCCGGAGCGAGAAGGCACGTGACCCTGCGGGCCTGGACAGGGCACGGCAAGGGCTGTTGGCTTTTCCCTGTAAGCACGTGCTCACGCACCCATCCGCTTCCTCTTTTTGCTCTGGCTGCGGGGTAACTCGGCATGTAGGGCCTTGTGATTTAAGGGACTCCTCTAGGCTCCAGTCCTCTCTGACTGATTCAGCTGGAAGGACAGCCTAGGGCACTGCGTGTCAGCCAGTTAAGGGGCAGGTGGAGGTTTTCCACTTGCCAGTGAGCCTGTACAATAGGCCTCTCAGCTTAAAATGACGCACATGTGTTCTTTCCTGATTCTGGGGAGACTTGGAGACGAGTCCACAGAGTGGTTCCTTCTAGAGGCTCCAGAGAGAAGCATGTCCACCTGTCCAGCTTTGGGAGGCCTGTACCTCTTGGCCTGGGGCCCCCGGGCATCTCAGAGCCAGGAGTTGACCATTTCAGGCTCTGCTTCTAGATGTGAAGTTCCTTGACAGATCCTCCGTCCTTGATCAAGCACAAGCCAGTCCACAGGGTCCCTCTGCATTGTCCAGCACCACGTCCCCAGGCCCAGGGCAGGGAGGGTCCCAAGGCCCAGGGCAGGGAAGACACTGCGCCATCACTACTCTAACCAAGCAGCACAGCTTACGGCAACCTGCACAGGGACCTTAGCAGAAGCTCTGAAAGCCCCAACTGCCAGCATGGGCCCCACGTCTGGGCATCCTGAGTCTGGAGCCCACAGCATGGCCCACAAGGAGGGTCTGGCCCCTCCAGATACCCCACACTGGATGTCTTTTGTCTCTAGAATCACCGTAGCCTCCAGGTTGGAGCTAGGCAGTGAGGGAGGGAGGAACACTGGCAGGAGGGGGGGTGGTTGAGGACCTCACTGCTGGGGAGTGATAGGAGTAGGAGCGGGGTTTGAGGTCCTTACTGCTGGGGAAGGGGTGGGGGTGTCGAGGTCCTCACTGCTGAGGAAGGGGTGGGGGTGTCGAGGTCCTCACTGCTGGGGAAGGGGTGTGGGGGTCGAGGTCCTCACTGTAAGGAGAGGAGC